TAAGAAATTTCATTAAAGTTAAAGCTGGATTCTCCGTAATTGATGATTTTTTTTCTTTTTTTACTGTTCTTGTAAAAAGGAAAACCGGATGGAAGCTACCTGCTAACCTCCTTTCCAATTGCTATATAATCAATTAAGTCCAATAAAGCAACAATTTCCCATTGTATTTTATTAATGACAATTTAATAATTTTAGTGTCTAAATTATACCTTTAATATGAAATTCAACCTTCCTAAACATGTATCCCATGTATAGAGAGAGAATACTTTTTTTTTTCTTTAGTTACATAATCAAAGTCAACTTTCACTTATCTTTTAATTCACTTCATCTCATGCCATGTGATTTAAATTTATAATATCTTATTTTTAACAATAAAAATTATCATTAAATTTCTCAAGTCATTGGTAGAGAGGATACTCTTATACGAGTTTTATATATTAGTTTTATATTAAATCATAAGCATTTATTTCTCATTATTAATTGCTTACATTAATTATAATTTTTAAATAAAAAGATAAAGCACAAAAAAAGAAGTAAAAACACTCTAATTCATACTTTAAAAATAAAGTATTTTAATTATTTTTAATGAGAATTTATTGAAATAATATAGTTTTAAGAATGATTTTCTTCTTAAATTAGAATCCAGTTATATACATTATTTACATAAAATCTTGATTATTTATTTTTTTACTATAAATAATTAAAATTTAATATGAATCTTAAATTAGAATCCACTTATATACATTATTTACATAAAATCTTGATTATTTATTTTTTTATTATAAATAATTAAAATTTAATATGAATTTTTAAATAAAAAACAATTATATTTAAAAAATAAGATAAAAAATAAATTTCAACAATTTAAAAAAGAGAGATAAACTATCAAAATTTAATACAAATGATATACATAAAATTATATGTAAATAAGTCTTATTTACATTTGTATAAAATTATATAATTAGAGTCCTTTTATACGTAACCTTTATAATTATAAAATTGTGCCAAACTCTCTATTTACACCTTATATAATTTTTTTCAACAATCAACACCATAAATTAATTTTTGTTTTGATCAATACCTTTTATAATTTAAAATTTATAAAAAAAATCTTAAATTACTAATAAAATTATTGTATAAATA